TAAAAATAAAGAGCAAGAGGATTTAGAATTATTCCAAATAATATTAAAAAGATGGGCCATCATGATAATGGCATTACCATATACTAGAAAACAATTTGTCCACAGTAGTTGACGACGGTATTTGTGATCTTCCAGCAATTGTGAAATGAAGAAAAATGATGGGTATATTTTGGAAAAGAGAAACAGAGAGAAACTAATATAATTTTCAAAAGTTAGAGAGAAGATGGGAACCTTGAATACAAGGTTATTTTTTAAACCCAGAAAACAAAAAACAGTAAAAGAGGGGCAAAAGCAACCCTGACACATTAGGCCCAATCTATTAAAACAATCCTTAAGACAACTTTGACAGCCCAACCTTTTTATTGGGCCAATGAGCCATTAGAGTGCCAATACCCCCTTAGCTCTACACACCTATAGTATTCCTTATACTCAAAAGTAGAGAATTCTTGCCACCAACTCAAACTTCTCACATTAAAAATCTTAGAATATTCACAATTAAATGGTCCACTTTCTACTTGGATAATCTCTTGGTTATACTCAAATATCATGATAGTGACTTCCAATTATAGCTAGCACCTCTCACACCATCAAGTAAACTATCTAACTCAAAGATTACTACTTTATTAGAATATCTACTAGCTTTAGTATTGGAGGGCCTTTACTAGTATTAGAAAATCACTCTCTTAACTGCTAACCTGAAATAAATCCAATAAACCTTTGGGCTATAAAAGCTACCACTATATAAAGTTATTGTATGATTATTGAATTATTGGCTATGCATAGTATTGGATCATTTGTATTTGTATTTCAATACAAGTTAATTTTTATATTACATTTGAATATCATATCAATAACACATCTATATGTTGTGTGTTTGTGTGGAAATATCCACGGGTTCTATGCCAAATATTTCTCTTAATCTGAATGAAAGAGAGTAAAAATTGGAAGTGGGGGAATTGTCATATCAAACAGGTGCTTCCCGGGTGAATAGGGGGAAGAATGATACAACTCAATTACTCTAATTGGCTTCCAAATTCATTCATCATTCCAACAATTTCACCATTTTTTAGCCCACTTTGATTGGATCTTAAGGCCCACATACTTGCCGTTGTATACGGTTAGGTCAACACAAAACTCCATTGTGTGGCCTTCTTTTCTACCCAAAAATGCTATAATGGCCATTGTCTTAATCACCTTAGCTCTCATATATAAATGCGCCTCCATAACCTCATAAGAATTTCCTCCCCACCATGAATTCCTTTCCAATTCCACATTTTAAGCAAGAAAACATGCTACTCACATATTCTTCACAAAAAAATATTCAGACATATTAATATAAATGGGACAATTTATTAATTATATGGGATATTTTATTAACTTTTAATTTATTTCTCCAAATATTTTGTGGATTTTGATTCATCTTTTATTTGCTATATACTTGTTTTTATAATTTTCTTAAGAAAAAAATTATGTAAAGTCTTTTACTTCCTATTAACTTTCCTCTTTAAGTAAATTATTTCCAAGTAAGGAGTGAAGAAGTGGGTTACACGACCATGTCTCCCTCTCCCCACATAAAATGTTTTAACAACTCTTATTAATTTATTTTGCCAAATATTTTGTAGATTCTGACTCTTTTATTTTATTTTATGGAATTTTAGATTCTTACTCTTTTACTTACTACATGCTTATTATTTTTATAATAAAAAAACTAATTTAAATTCCATTTTCTTTTGTTTCCTTTTTAGTTATTTTTCCTTATCTCCTTTAAATTCCCCATTCCTAATATTTTAATTTCTTTTAACAACCTTTGACTTGTATTGTGCTGTGTGTATCTTCTTCTTTCTTTTTTGTTTTTCTGTGTTTTTTTTTCTCAATTTCTTTAAATCTCCCATTATCCTTTGACTGTGAAATTTTGCATGTGGTGGTAGCATGATTTGTCTTGGTACGTGTTATGCGCCTATATAAAACCTCCTTTTTTTCTCTTTCTTTTTTACAATAAATTTTTTTAAAACTCTACTTCTCATTAAAATAAAAAATGACTTGTTTAGAAATGTTTTAGTTGCATACATTAAGAGAAAATTGCTCAAAAAATCAGTGTTGATTTGGTAGTAGATTAATTTAATATTACGAGTGCTTTATTTAAGTAAAATTTTCTTGCTATATCTCCATAGAATAAAAGTATTTTTAAAAAATTAATAGTTTCTCTTTTTATCAATAAAAATTTCCTTGCTATATCTCCATGATGATTCTTTACCTAATTCCCACACTGTATGCATTATACACAAACCAGTGAGCATGCTGTTTCATAACACAAAGGACAATATTCTTGCTTCCACAATTAACATAGAAACCGCGGCTTGCAGAAAAGTTGATAATAAAAACCAAAGAGAAATAATAAAAATGGAAACACACACATTCCTTGTAAACTCAAACCTTATCTGCATCCTGAAAAGCAAGAATACCCTGTGTAACCTTTTTCTTCCATGAGACATTAACATTGACATAATGCTTTTTTCTACAAATAGGGTACTCACACATGCTCCACTCACCTTATTTCAGCACTGAAAAATGTTCCAATAAGGGGGAATCAGTTGTTTTGATCCCAAATCGAAACTACCACTGGTGATAACTTGAGTCAATTAATTGACAAAGTGCAATGGCTTTGTGATTTGTGATTCCCACTGGAAGGGGCCAGCTAAAGCAATGCAAAATCTCAACTAGCACTGTACACATTTTTGTCTTAGCAAGAACAAAGTCAGAAAAGTTGCCTGTTTAGCATTTACTTTTATGAGTAACAGAGACAACACTTGTCCTCGTTCACTTAAGCATGATGACTCTCTGAACCACTCATGACCAACTTATTGAAATAAGCACTGATCATTTTTCAGTTCCAATTTCACAAAGCAATATACTTGACGTCTATGACCACTTCTTTTTTTTTACCCATTTTTTCATTTCACACTACCCATTAAAAAACTGATTATATGACCCAAAAATTAACCCAAATGAAAGTTGGGTCAAATTTATTTTCTTAATTTGTTTAGAAAGTACTTTTGTTCAAAGTTAAAAGCATTCACATAGAATTAACTTTCTATGTGAGATTTTTTTTCTTTATGTGAAGACTTGAATATGAGATTTTACTTAAAAAGAATAACACTTATATTATTTGGACTAATCAGCCATTAATTTGTTTCCTTGATTCATCATTTAATTGGATTTCTAAGAGGGGAAAGAGCTTAAAAAATTATAGCTTTCTCTTAATTACTCATCAATCTATTTGCACAATTTAAGGCACCCCTTGTGTTGTTCTTTCCCTCACAATGATTCCACATCCCATACGAGCATATAATTTTGTTAATATACGGGTTTGATTCTTCTTGAGTGCATCTGGATTCTACCTAATTAACCCCACATGTGACCAACAGCTAGTAAAATACAAGTGGTCCTCTCATACGTCTCTAGGACTAATAGAATTGAATAGGCAACAAAATATAAGGGAATCGACATGAGGAAAAAGGCACACAAATTCTCATGCTATTAAGATCTCTGTGTTAGAAAGGTATACATGGAGCAATTATAAGTTTTGCTACCTTAACTAGTAGGTGACCTCACAACCACCTCAACCCACAAAATTTATCTTCAATAATAAAGAAACTTATTTCCTCATAGTTCTACAAACTAATTATCTCTCCTCAAATCTTCAACCTAAAGAATAATCCAACAACCACTTAATCTTTTTCAGTGGCAAAGGAATAGGACTAGTCAAAAGAAGCTTTTTTGGTGTGGGAACTATGCACCCTTCTCTTGGACTTCACCTTCCAAAACGCTGCACATATCACGGGCATAATGGGTTGACCATAGTGCTTAGTTCTATGTTAAGAGTAACTACTTGGGCACTAGACATTCCTATGTTGTAGCTAAGTTTCAAAAATAAATAACATTAGTATTGTTTATTTAAATTTAAGAAAACCATTACCATCTTTTAACCTTGGGAATGCTTCTCCCACCTCTAAGGACAATTTTTCGTTTTTAACCACTTCCATAGCATTAAAGGCGTTGGTTCCCCGTCTTTAATAACAACACGTAACCAAAAAGCAAGTTTTGGTCGCTGAGGAGAGAGAAAGAGAAACTATGATCCTTTCTCCATATTCATGCCTCCCAAAGGTCAAGTCATAGATTGCAAAGTGGAACTCAGAACTGTACTCTGGGTTTTAAATTAAGAACTATTACTTAAGTACATGATTATCATCATGGATAATAGGTATCAAGGGCAGATCATAGTATAATAACGGGTACGCCTAAAAGAATAATATAAAAACTAATATATGCATAATTTTTATTTGATAACCTCCTCATTGTTTAAGAAAAATACTATTTAATTTGAAAATACATTAAATAAATTAGTTTCTTCTAAAGAGGTGTTAATATGTTATTCTATTAGGCCTTTTTTTTGTCATCCCAACAAAATATTTCTTCTACTTTTAATTTGCATTTTACATAAGTATTAACTATTATGAGTATTTTAATTATTAGTTAAATCTACAATATTGATTTTTAAGTATATATTTTTATCTTTATATTTGGCCCCTCGAAAAGAAAATTGTATGCGCCGGCGCCCATGATGTGTACATTGGCCATCGATTAGTAAAGCCATGTTATCTAAATTTCAATGAACCAGCGAAAGATTGAACTAAAAAACATTTGCAGGAAAGGAGATATGATATAAAATTTTAAGAGTATAGTTGTACTTGTAAGGAGTATAAAAAAAAAAATCAATTGGGAAACTAGCAAGTTTTTATGCTTGATGAACATGAAAAGAAACGAGTACCACCTAGAAATAATAGATCTAAGGTCTTAGGAACAAAAATCAATTACCCATTTGTCTGTACATTGTCATTGCTTTCATCACATGGGATAAAAGACAAAACGTTTTCATGATTCCAGACATTCAGCAACCTCAACAGCAAATGCTTCAAAATGATGCAAAAACACCATTTTCCCTATTCATCAACAGGTGCAGGTAGATTGAGATCAATTAGGCAAGGAACAGAAGCAGCACCTGGTCTTATCACAAGGGTGTTCTCATCAGAACCTCCAACAAAATGGGATCTTTTGTGACCTCCCAAGGCTTGGCCTGACCTGAAAATTTTGTTGCAAATTGGACATTCATGTGCTTTACTTTTCTTTGACTTCAATTTCTTCTTCCCTTTGCTACACTTCTTGCCACTCGGGTTCCTGCTAGTGTGTGTCTTTGGAGCAGGATAAGAATCAGTGTCTGTGCTGTTTTCATCACTCTCATAAGCCAAATCATCAAAGTCATTGTCCCTTTCACTAGTCAAGCACTCATATTTCCACCCTTTACCACCATGCTCAATGATTCCATCATTGGTAAAACCATTTGCTACCTTCCTGCTAGAAACCCCACCAAAATTTTGACCAAGAGGATCATAATTAGACTTCTTCCTTGAATCAAACCTCTTTGTAACTGTAGCTCCATCTTCTCTATTACTCTCCCAATCCTCCAAAACAAATTTCTTAAACTCATTGCTCCCGCTTCCTCCTCTGCTCAGCAACTTCCTAGATTCAACATCATAGTCCTCAAACCCAGAAAAGTACCCAACTTTTGAAGACTTAACTTCATTCCTGAAAACCCCTTCATTTGAACCATCAGAGTCAACCTTCTTAGGACCGTATCTGAAGTACCCAGAATCTGAATTATCAGAATCATAACCAATCTCAGCAGATTTCAACTTCAACTTCAACTTCATGTCCTTGTGCTGCAGCAGCTTCTTCTTGTCCACAAGCTCATAAGCACTAGGCACAAAATTCTTACCGTTATTCACAGTCACCTTGGTATCAAGAGAAGGTGATTTAGCCTCAAGAACAACCGAGTTGTTATCAGAAGACTCTGTGACCAAAGCAAAACGACCCTTGTGGGTGGAATCCTTGGACAACAACATCAAGCACCTAGCCACCTCTTCTTGTTCTTGCTCAACCTCAGACACAGAAGAAGAAGGAGGTTGATTGCTAAGGGTCTTGAACCTCATTCTCTTGGATCTCCTTGTAGGAGCAGAAGTTTCAGTATCAGATTGACTATCCAAAACCAACTTGTGCTTCTCAGAATTGTTCTCAAACCTGTGATTATTATTATTATTGGTTCCCTTGTCCTTTTCAGAGTGACAAGCCATGTGGCCACAGAGAGCTTTCAACGATGGAAAACCTTTGCCACATTCTTTGCAGAACTTGTCAAGTTGCAAAGTCGCATTAGAGTGAACAAACCTCGTGGTCTTCTTTGGGTTCTCTCTTAGGCCATAAATGATGTTGCCACCATCAACAACTTCAGACTCCAAATCCCTCTTCCTCTTTCTCCCAGGATCAAACTTGGCCGTAGCATTAGCAGCATTGCCATTATCATTGCCTTGAGTTGAATGTTCACTCATATGGGTCCTGATGTGGCCACCCAAAGACTTGCCGCAAGGGAACCTCTTGCTACAATACTTGCACACAAACTTCCTCTCCTCCATTGATTATCGATATCAAGTAATGAACAATGAATCTGATCCAAATAAGAAAACAAGATCAGCAAATTGTAACACCACTTACCTCGAAATCCGCAAGAAGGACTATGCACATTCCATGATCATGGTGTGTGAAGGGTTGATTGAAGGAAGAAGGCACAGGCAGAAGGGGTAGAGAGAAAGAGCTAAGAGACAAATTCAGATCGAGTTCAAAAGAAAATATAGATCACGAAGCTTCTTGCTTTTAACCAGGTGATGATCAGAAGAGAATCAAAGCGTTCAGATGTGACAGTTCTATAAGTACAAAGATCAGACCCACAAAAAAAGCACAAGAGAAGAGACCCCTTAATTTGCGTTTCCCAAGTAAACAAATTTAATGGGTAAGCATTAGAAAAATCAAATTTTTTAAGAGAAGGGTATGGGTTGTTTGTTGCTACTAGTGGTGGCACTGAACAGGCCCTTAAGAACAACCAGAACTAACCATCACTCTCTTTCTCTCTCTATCTATGGTTCTCTCTTGTTGGTGGTGTTGTAGTTGGAGGAGAAATCCATGCATGGAATGGAAGAAAAATAAAATAGATTAAAAGGGTATTTAATTTAATAAAAAAGAAAAGCAAAAAAGTGAAGGGGCAAGGAATGATAGGAAGCACGTGTACTTTGTTGAGAACAATTCGGTGTTCCTTTGGATGGCCAAGATTTGGGGTTGTTTTGAGGATCTCTAGGCTTGCGGGGAATACCAGATATGGCAAACCAAAAACTGAAACACCCAAACTATCCCTTAAATTGTCTTGCTTCTAAGCTCACACAAGTGAAAGGTCAGAATCTCCAACCGTTATTGTTTGGAGCTCACTTCCTTCCTTTGCACCTCTCTACACTGTTGAAAATCATTTACTTAATTGCATTTATTGGCTTTTATTTATTGTAACATTCAGGTTTTAATGCCCTGTTTTTCCTATGTGTTTTCCATACTCCTTATGGCCATTATTTCATTTCTTTCATAACTTTTCCTTCTCATCTATTTCTTAATTTAATTTTGCTAAACTGAAGATAGTACAATTTTATATAAAATGTTGTTCTACCTGATAAAGAAAATTACAAAATTAACAATTTTATAACTTATTATTATACATTATATTTTACTAGAATATTAACTCTTAATCAATTTTTTTTCTTTTGTGTTAAATAGAGAGTTATATCCAATATTTTAGTAGCTAATAAAAATTTGGAAGAGACACGAAATTTACATTCTAAAATATTTATAAATCATTATGCTTATCATATTTTAATGGATTGATTGTTTCCATTCTCATGAGGTCTATTTGATGACCTTGCCCAATTGAGAATATATTCTTTTTAATAATAATTAATCATATTCTTGAATTGTGTTCCTACCAAATTAGTCAATAATTATCCAAGATTTCTAAATGAGTAATAGTGTTAAAATTTTGAAAATCCTAACTATTCAAGTATGTGTTGGTCTTTATCTAAATGCTAAATGTTAATTAAAAGGTAGAAAATAATAGAGTCCAAATATTGGAATCATCTCTCCGTCTCGCCCACGGTATTTTAGTTACTGACTAGCAGTCTATTGTTTCATATGCTATAAAGCAAGAAAGCTTGTGTTTGTTTCATAGAATGCTATCAATATATTTTTAACACATACTTTATTATTAGTTAAAAATTAAAAAGAATAAAACTCATAATTTTAAATTAAAAAAATTAGTAATACACCTTTCATTGTTAACTAAAATTTATTAAAAAGTATAAAATATACTAAAATATATTAATTTAAGAATTAAAAATTTTCATATAATTATTAATTAATAATAAAGAATATGTTACTCTTCACCTTTCAAACTTTATCACTTATAATTAAGTAATATTAGCAATACACTCCTTAACACACACTTTCAAATATATATTCTACTATTAATTAAAATTTATTGACAATTACAAAAATTATTAATTTAAAGTTAAAAAGAGTGAGACTCAGTAAATTATGTGTTAAAAAGAGTGATATTCATATAATTTTAATTATGAGTGAAATATGTGTTAGATAATGTATTAAAAGAGTAATGTTACTCATTATAATTTATCAACCTGACTCATTTTTGAAAAGATAAAATCTATCACACAGAAATATGTGTTAAAGAGTATATTAAAAAAAGTAACATTGCTCGTTATAATTTATCAACTTGTCTCATTCTTGAAAAGATAAAATCTATCACATAGAAATATTTGTTAAAGAATGTATTAAAAGAGTAGGTTGCTTATCAAAATTTATCAACCTTATTCATTATTGAAAAGATAAAATCTATCACACAGAAATATTTGTTAAAGAGTAGAGAGTAACGTTGCTCGATATAATTTATGAACTTGAATATTTGTTAAAAAAATGTATTAAGAGAATAAAGTTACTTGTTATAATTTGAGTTTTATTAATTTTAACCCTTAAGACTGAGTTTAAACATTTATAAATAGAAATTTTTATAAAAAAAATATAATTATATTAAAGTTATAAAAATATAATAAATAATTCTTTTTCTAATAAAATTTTATTATTATATTGATATTAACAAAATTCATAATTTATCAACCTGACTCATTTTTGAAAAGATAAAATCTATTATACAAAAATATTTGTTAAAAGTATATTTAAAAAAATAATATTGCTTGTTATAATTTATCAATTTGACTTATTTTTAAAAGGTAAAATTTATCATATAAAAATTTATTAAAAAATTATATTAGAAGAGTAATGTAATTTATTATAATTTATTAAGTTAACTAATTTTGAAAAGATAAAATTTATTAGAGATGAAAAATATGTTAAGGAAGGTGTTAAAAGAGTAATTTTACTTGTAGTAATTTACCGATATAACTCCTCCTCGAAATGATAAAATCTATCACACGTCAATTGGCCGAACATGGATTACTTAATATCGTCTGCTACCGTTCGGCACAGTTAATAGAAAGTTATTGAAGAAAGTTGGCTCAGAATTTGCCAAATGTTTGATGGACGCTTGGCACGCGGAATTTATACAACAACTTGTTTAGATTAAGTCAACCCACTATTGCATAGATGTGCTTTACTTGGTACACTGTGCTACTCTTATTCTTCTTCCTATTTTACTTGCCCTTTATTTTTATATCCACATAGTCTAAAGGAGGTTGCATTGGTTAATTAGTTCATCTGATTAATGCTTTAAACTTAGCCACATTTACTTACCATTCCTGAGGTGAGAAAGTTTTTAAGTAATTGAGCTCATTGATGTGAGTTTGATTCAACTAATTACACCTTTTTTTTTGGAGAATTTTTTTTTCATGTCTTTGATTATAAACTAGTGTTTATATAAGTGCAACCAAAGTGCAATGTACATTGTAAATTTAAATCTTAACTTCTATGCAAGAGAGTATTTTTTTATTGTGCCGAATTTCTCCTTATGATGTATTATTTTATCATTATTTAATTCATAGTTTAATGTAAAAATTATTCAAATCAATATTTATAATTTTAAACTAATTCTTTTGAATTTTTAAAAGTTTATTGTAAAATTTAATTATTATATATTTCCTTTTTATTTTTTTTACTTATATACAATTTAATTTTAGCCATATTTAAGATTTTTCTTTTAAACAAATGACAAAATCAATATGTTCATTGGTATTCCTTTTTCTTTTTCTTAATTATTAAAAATTTAAAATCATATAAGTATATTTCCTTTATATATCATGTGTATTACTTAAAAATAAAATTAAAAAATATTTTTTATAAATAGGAAAAAAAATAAAATATGTAAATTATGATTAGAAATTTAAAAATTACATGTAAAAGATCGTCTATGAAATGAAGAGATCCGAGATAAAAGTATTAAATGAGCTATTTTTTATAATTATTTTTGCAAACAACATTAATATATAAATAAAATTTTTCATGAAATGACAAATAATCTATAAAATAGAATATACTTTAAGAAGACTAATCTTAATTTCAAAAAAATGTTTTTAATTTAAAAATTAATAAGTATTTTATAAAATTTAAAAGATTTTATAAGATATGATATTAGGATTAGAAGAAGAAAATTTTGAGATTTTATTTATTTATAAGAAATTTGATAATTTACTTTGTTAGCTTAAAATTTAAAAATATAATAATTTAATTTATAAAAATATTGAGCACAAAAATGAGAATTTAGAAATTTTAGATAGAAAAAATCAATAAGGACTAAATTTGTTAAATTTTAAAAATAGACTTAATTAACTAAAAGAAGTGCATATAAATTAAATTTAAGAGTAAAATTATAACTAAATCTTTATATTATACTAGTTATTAACCCATATTTAGGTATTTATATTTAATTTAGATAGATTAACTCATTGACACTAATTCATGTATATAGTTCTGATCTATTATCTATACTTATTACAATAAGTGATATTAAAGTTTGGATCTCCAAACAGTATCATATGGACGTGGGTATGCACACTAATGAACGTACGTTCTCAAGAGAGGGTCCAGTGCAAGTGAACCTTTAGGAGAGAGTGAGGACACCTCGAAGGTCAATAGAGAGTGAGAGCTCCTCCAGGGTAAATGTTAGAGGACTTCATTCGAGATGAAGATTGTTAAGATGTAAGAACAAAGTCCTACATTTGTTAAAATTAGAAAATATCAAAAACATATAAGGATGGTAGATATCTCTATTAATATAAGATCTTTTAGTTTATGTTCAAAAATAAAATCATAAAAGTTTAGGTTTAAGGTGGACAATGTCATATTAGTGTGAAAATATACTAAAAAAAGTCTATATTTATTATAACATGGATTGCTACTCATTTTTTCTCCCTAAATCGCTATATTCGATATTTAAAACTATGATAATAACAATATCATTTTAATATAATATAGAAAAAACTTTAGAAGTTGCCAAATCAAACATCTAAACTTGTATTCTATTAGAAATTATATGTTATAGTTAAATTAATAGATTAAGACTAAACTATCAATA